AGTGATGTAGCACTCTCTTGTTTTCCTTTATTCTCTCTCTCTCTCTCTCTCTCTCTCTCTCTCTCTCTCTCTCTCTCTCTCTCTCTCTCTCTCTCTCTCTCTCTCTCTCTCATATGCTCTCTCTATCCATCTTACTGTTACCATAGCAACTCCCAGCTGCAGCAGTATTCTGTTTCCATGGTGATAGATGTTCAAATTTCCAGAGAAGAGTGTACGGCAAACGGAGAGAAGTGGGGGAAAAGATTAGGGTTATGAGTGGAAGGAAACTACACCCTTTAATACAGCAAATTAAATCACATGACTTTGGATTCCATGTTGCATAGGACCCTCTGTCTGCTGATGTAACACAGCTAGTCAGTCAATTAGTGACAGCCAATCAGAACGTCACAGTGACTGGATCCCAAGGTTAAGGATCAGAGCATAGGGTCAAGATCACAAGACATCAACAATACAACATACAACAATACAAATATAGCCATCGTTTCTTTGTCAGAGCAAATGCATGTCATAAACACACATACACAGAATGTTATTGCTGAGTCAGCTTTTTAAGGGTTTCTCTGTAGGGATTTCTTTGTCTAATTATTGCTTCCTTAAGACGGGTTGGTTGACTGGCTGTTTAGCACATCCCTGTTAATAAGCTCTAAATTCGCTTATTCACCCATTTCATCCTGACTGGAACATTGTGTTTTGTTCTGTGATGCCAGTTGCACCGATCTGCCTTGTTACATTTAAGTTCCACTGCTTCTGTTCTTCGGGCCCTGTGTATTTTCTTTATTTAAAGAAAGGTTCTTCTGACACAAAAAGACCCCATCTGTCCCTGCTCTGCACCTCCCACGCTTTAGATAACTGAAAGGAAAAAACTGTCTGAACCTTTGGCCCCAAAGGTAACAGTCTTCTGTAATCATTTTTGCGCTCTCTTCATGTTTTTAGGTGAGGGAGATGGCGGCCACCACTCTGAGTGGATTACTGCAGTGTAATTTTCTCAGCATTGATGAACCTATGCAGGCCCATTTTGAGTCCCTGAGCAAGACCCGTCTGCCCAAGCGTAGGAGGAGAGAGCTGGGCTCCGTGGTGGACACAATCCCTTCTGCTGGTAATGATCACACAAGTACACTGGCGTCCAAACGTTTGAGGTTTTTGAAAGAAGTCTCTTATGCTCAACTAGGCTCCATTTATTTAATCACAAATACGGTAATACTGTGAAATATTATTGCAAATTAAAACAAATATTTTCTATTTGAATATATTTTAAAATGTAATTTATTTCTGTGATCAAAGCTGAATTTCCAGCATCATTACTCCAGTCTTTAGTGTCACATGATCCTTTAGAAATCATTCTAATATGATGATTTGCTGCTCAAGAAACAATTATTATTATTAATAATGTTGAAAACAGTTGTGCTGCTTAATATTTTTGTGGAAATGGTGATAGATTTATTTATTTTGATTTAAAATTGACAGTAAAGACATTTATAATTTTACAAAAGATTTCCATTTCGAATAATTGCTGTTATTTTGCTAATTGCTTTCTATTCATCAGTGTAATGTATCCTTCCTGAATAAAACTATTAATTTTTTTTTTTTTATTAATAACTTCCTGACCCCCGTCCCTTTTCAGCGCTGCGCTCGTTGTCTTTTGTCTTCCGGTCTGTATTTTTTCACAGTGATCTTACGTATTTATGAATGAACGGCTCGTTTAAAATCTTCCCGGTCTACTGACATTTGTTAAGACATCTACTTTAAACATTACAATCCTCATGATAACGTTCATTAACTTTTACAAAAAGTAAATCCACTTCACCAGCTACTCCTCGACCGTGATGCCATAGAAATATACAGCTACTGCAAAAACTTTAGATATTCAATTGTGCATGCTCATTTCTCCTTTTTTACATTTAAATTACCATTGCCGCCATAGCTCTAAGTTAATATTTTAACATAGGTAAATGGAATTTTTAGCCAATCTTAAAATACATATCTTTTTTTATACTCTACATTGATTTGATGCCTAAATGTACTTGTAGCATTTTAAACAATTCTGTTCTTTTATGTTGCATAAATTGTATAGTTTACATTTTTAATATCAGCAATTAATATTGAGCAGAAGTTCATTACCGTATAATAAATACAGTATTATAGATAGATTAGATAGATAGATAGATAGATAGATAGATAGATAGATAGATAGATAGATAGATAGATAGATAGATAGATAGATAGATAGATAGATAGATAGATAGATAGATAGATAGATAGATAGATAGATAGATAGATAGATAGATAGATAGATAGATAGATAGATAGATAGATAGATAGATAGATCGATCTTGGATTCAATTAGTGATCTTTAAATTACATATGGAAAAAAGACTAAGATGTTCATTTTGGTGAGACTGTATACTGATTTAATATTTGGGGTGAATTAAATGGACCTAAATTCACCTTAGATATATTTATATACAGTACCTTATGATAAATGATTGGACCTAAATCTTTATAACTTTTTTCTGTGTTTAGACCTGGTGCAGCGACATGCAGGTGTATTAGGTCTGAGTGCCTGCATCCTGTCCAGCCCGTATGATGTGCCCACATGGATGCCCCAGATCCTCATGGACCTGAGTGCCCACCTCACTGACACACAGCCTATAGAGGTACAGCTCCCGCTCTCTTTTACTTGTGTGTTAAAGAGCAAAGATGAAATGTTTAAGCATTTCTGGAAGTTGAACATGAATCATGCAACTGCATTTTGATGCACTCAAGGAAATGTATGGATGCCGGAGGTAGACCAGAAACTGTGAGACTACTTACAAGATCTTTAACAGATTTATTGCTGTCTCTCTAGATGACTGTGAAGAAAACACTGTCGGATTTCCGTCGCACTCATCATGATAACTGGCAGGAACACAAGCAGAAGTTCACAGATGACCAGCTGCTGATGCTCACAGATCTGCTAGTCTCCCCCTGTTACTACGCTTAGGTCTGTTACAGTATATACACACTCACACAGGCTCTCTTCCAAAACCTAGTGAGCTTTTTTGCTGCCTGCCAACATATACAGTGCCTTTTAAGGCAGCATCCTAACTGAAACGAAACCTCATAAATGATGATTTGGAACAATCTAAATACTGTAGGCAACTCTGTGCATTACACAAATAGCTATCATTAATACTCCAATACGATATTACACTATACCTACTGGAGCACACACAAATATTGGGTAAAACAGTTGTTTATTATTTAGGATAAACAACTTTTTATAGATTTTTTTCAATATTAAACTGTAGAATGAATTTGATACCATAAAATACTGACTACGCAAGCATCTAACTCTGTTTTGGAACATACTTCGTTCACATACATGCATGTTCAGATAGATTTCATTTTCACACCCTTCTTATGATACTTTCTACTCTGTTTTTCAGAATGATGCTACTCTGGTGAAGGGGAAATGTTTCTTACACTTGTCTTGAGGGAAAGGCTACAAGAAAAAGGCTGCTTGAAACCTACATTTTTGTTTGCCCTTAACGTCTGGGATTGTTTTTAAAGACACAATTTATGTAGCAATAGTTGCAATCATCTAGTATAAGACAATTAGCATATTTTACTAAACTATTTATTTTTTATTTTTGAATACACTTAATATTTAAGGGGAACCTATTGCAGGTATCGCTGACCTGCATCTATAATGTTCTTGTACAGTTTTAATTTTTCGCTTGTGTGAGTGCAGTATGGATTGTTAAAGCAGTTTTCTGCACTGCTTTGCATTGCGTTTTTATTGTAATACTAGCCTTTTACCATTTTTGCTGTAGTCCGTTTGAAATGTGTACACATGTAATGTTGGTAAATGTTACATATGTGTATAAAATAGTACCATAGTACCATATTTTGAAGTACCCCCCCCGTACCCCCCCCCCCCCCCACCCCCCCCCCCCCCCCCCCCCCCCCCCGCCTCATACAGACGTATTGCACTTTGAACAGTTATGTAAGCCTACATAAATGGAGTAAGAATATCATCACAATGGATGCTGTTACAAAATACTAGGTCTGTTTAAACCATGAGATTTTAAAATTCCTCCCTTTGCATCTTTTTGTCTATTCATATTTTTGTAGTCAACAAATGTTTATTTATTAATTTATCGATTGAGACTTTGTTGACTCTGTTTTGTCAGTTGGCTCAACCTTTGCATTTAGTGTTTGCAGTTTGTAATTTGTTGCATTAAGCCAGGTGTTTTCATATCCTGAAATCAGAAGCATTTTAAAGGTACTGTCTGCAAATCCTGAGACGGTGTTGAGAAATGCAACACATGAAAATTACCAGTTGTTTATTGCCCCACTGATGAACCTGTCAGTAGCAACAATTGCAGACTATATTTAATTACAATGGTATGTTGATAAGCTTTTGTCATAGGTATAATTATGCTGTCAAAATCATGTCCAAAGCCAATATAGAGTTCAACTTTGGTTGGTAAACTATAAGACAGTAATGCTGTAATGCTATGCTAATGCTTGATTAATTGGTTACCTGTTGTTGTTGTTGTTTTGATATCTTTTACAAATATTTGAATAAAGACGAGATGTTTGTAATAAAGTGTGACAAAGTAAGCCGATACAATCTTTTTGTGCTTTTCCCATGTTAATGCTGAGAAAGAACAATTTTGACTAATCAAAGGACTAATCCATTATAATCCAATTTAATCCACAATAAGAATCAGACCGACAGACAGACTTGTGTTGTGTATAAATAAAAACTATAATATAGTTAAAATATAATATAAAAATATAATAGAGTCATGTTTATGATAAAATATTATTAAAATATAACACTGTATAAGCATTAAATAGATAATTAAATCGCAAACAAAATTAGGCTCTTTGTGCTTCCTGAGTGAGCATCCTGTTCTCGCGGGCACGCGCTTGCTGTCCATTCAAGGGCTTCAATATGTTTCCAGTGAGACGCGCCCACTCTCCTTCTGCGCATTAAATTCACTCTGTTTTTTTCATTCTCATCTTTATGCTGTGATACTCTTTCTCCACCTAGGATGCTTTTATCGTTCATGTACTTTGGAGATTCATACAAATGTGGAAAACGCGGCGTCGTAAAAATGGCACACATAGGGAATCCATGGTAAGGAAATCAGCATTTTTTGACAAGTGGAGCAAGAAAGCCGCATGATTATTATGTGCGACCTTGTGTATCTGAACGGTGTATTTAGTATACATTTATAGAACGTTTGTTTTAATGGCGCATGATGATTATTTATTTATTTGTGTATGTTCTTTCAAAGAGGGGGGGGCTGGATGCATTTTTGACACAATTTTATAGGCGCCGCACATTCGCCTGCAGTAATATTACTCTTCACAGTGGTTAACGGATAATAAAAGCTTTCAGATACTATGCAGATTGTTGCAAGCATGTATTCATCTTAATAGATAGATTTGTATGACACAATAGTCATCGTGTGTATGTACAATAGTCATCGTGATTCTGTTTTTATAGAAAATCCAAATAATGTGTGTGCATCAAGTTATGATAAAGATAGCATATAGATTAAAACGAATCCCTTGAATGGATAAAAAGCCACTAGGCCATTGACATAGTCATTTTTATGTTAATTTATTGAGTTACAATTAGGCCTATCTTACTTGATGCTTCATATTGTCTATTACTAATCAATATTTCCTCATCCCTTGTGTCCTTGCAGCAATCCAAAGGGTCTTTCATGAACTAACTGCACAATGGGAGTATTAGCTCGCTCTTGTGTGACCTAAAGGCAAGATGGGCAACACTCTGATGCTGTGACCACTTTGCATCCCCATGTGTACCATGAACAGCACAGCCTGGCCTTTGGACCTGGCTGAGTTTGTGAAACCTCGGGGCTTCAACAGCTCCCAGAGCCAGTCTGCTTCTGCGAGCGGCTGGGCCTTGATCCACACGGCTACCCTCGCCTCCTGCTCCTTTCTGTTGGTCCTCATATTTTGTCTCGGTTCTTATGGCAACTTGGTGGTCTTCTTGTCCTTCTTCGACCCGGCGTTCCGCAAGTTCCGCACCAACTTTGACTTCATGATCCTCAACCTGTCCTTCTGTGACCTGTTCATTTGCTGCGTCACTGCGCCCATGTTTGCACTGGTGCTCTTTCTGGATGCTGGAGATGCCAGCAGCGGAGTGTCCAAGGGCTTCTGCTTTGCCTTTCACCTCACCAGCTCGGGCTTCATTATTATGTCCCTCGAAACGGTGGCTGTGATCGCCCTGCATCGGCTTCGCATGGTCCTGGGTCAGCAGCCCAACCGTACGGCCTCGTTCCCCTGTACTCTGGCCCTCACAGCACTCTTATGGACCACCAGTTTCACACTGGCGGCATTGGTCACCTTGCGAGCGTATCCCAGGAGCTCCGGGCCTTGCCTGCCTCACTTTGGTCTCACTGGCAACAAAGCCAAGTTAGTATTGTATGTATACATAGCAGACTTTGCTTTCTGTGTTGGTGTGGTTTCGATTTCCTACCTTATGATCGCTCAGGCTTTGAGGAAGAATGCACAGGTACGGAAGTGTCCCATCATCACGGTGGACGCGACGCGTCCGCCTGCTTCTCATCCACCGCTCATCACAGCTGGTTTTGAGGGTATGCAGTGCACAGTGCAGGTGCCCTCTCTGTACCGCAACCAGACGTACAACAAGCTCCAGCATGTCCAGACGCACCCCTTCACCAGGAGGGCCAACCAGCCCCTCGTGCCCGGGGCCGCCACTGGAGCAACCTGCTGCCAGCTGGTCTCCACCGTCAACTTGGCTACGGCCAAGGATTCGAAGGCTGTGGTGACATGCGTGGTGATCGTCATCTCGGTGCTGTTGTGCTGTCTACCACTAGGTATCTCCTTGGCGCAAGATATGGTGTCACCGGAGAGCAGCTTCGTCCACTACCAGTTCGAGCTCTGCGGATTCGCCCTCATTTTCCTGAAGTCTGGAATCAACCCGTTCGTGTACTCGCGCAACAGTGCTGGTCTGCGTCGCCGTGTGCTCTGCTGCCTCCAGTGGGTGACCCTGGGCTTCCTGTGCTGCAAGCACAAGACACGCCTGCACGCCATGGGCAAGGGAAGTCTGGAAGTCAACCGCAACAAGTCCTCGCACCACGAGACCAACTCGGCGTACATGCTCTCACCGAAGCCCCATAGGAAACTGGTTGACCAGGCTTGTGGACCCAGTCACTCCCGGGACAGCATGCCTAGTCCCTGTGCCACCGCTGGACGCAAGCCCCGACCCCCGAGCACATCTACGCCCATCAACACTCGCATAGAGCCCTATTACAGTATCTATAACAGCAGTCCGTCAGCAGCACCGAGTTCCCCCAACAGCCTACAGCCGGTCAACTCTCAAACCACAGCCTTTGCCAAAAGCTACGTGGCTATGCACTACCACACCCACCAGGAGGCGCTGCAGGACTTTGACAGCACGTCGGCTAATCAGATTCCCATCCCATCGGTCTGAGCTGTGGAACGTCATACAGCTTGCTCAGCATCCAAAGGGGAGCATTTATAGTGTTTGCTTGTGCTGTTTTGCTCAAGAGACAATGTGCATCGAGTATCCAATAAAAAGAAAATGGGACTTTTACAACTAGTTGTCGCTTTCCCCAAATTTGTTATTATTGTTGTTTTCTGGACTAAAGGATGTTCTATTTTTACATTGACATGGCATTTTCATGTAATAGTCTTCTTCGCTCAGATTATGTATTTGTGAAACATCCTACATTTTATATATGAACTTATTAAATGTTTTGCAAGTGTATCTTGACACCTTCATTATCCTTTGAAAGCAGATATTTAATGTAAAATGTGGTTTGCTTTCAGTCATATCTTTTTTTTAGGTATTCACGTCTAAGCAAATGATGAATGTTATGTAAGAACATTGTTCTCTGTGAACAAAGCCTATCAACAGAAAGAGACACTAGCGCCACCTAGTGTAGGTAAATGGACCTTCTGGCCAGTTCCTAATATTTAGCAGAGGCATGTTTATTTCTCCATAAGAAATATTTTTTTTCTGTTAGAATGAATAATGCCCTAATGATTCTACCCAGGAAAATAATTTTCATTGTAACATAAATGGGAAAAGAAGGAAATGTATTTAATTTACACTGCGAAATACTGCAAAAATGGTCCTGTACAAAAATGGGTCTAAACATTCTTATTTCAAGATACATTTACTTGAGAAGCAAAATGACGACATAATTGTTTTGGACATATAAAAAAATAAAAATCAAGAAATATCTGCAAACTTGTTTTCCCTTTGAATAAGGTTTTTTTTTTTTTGCCTCATTGACAGACATACAAAATCTTGTTTTAAGTATAAATAAGTCATTATGCTTCTCAAGTAAATGTACCTTGACATAAATACTAAAAGTATTCATTAATATGTTTACATGAGAGTATGAATCTTTTCTGAAATGACTTGAAATCATATTTTATTAATGTGCATGCTGAGTAACAACCAGCGTTGCAGTCAATGTAATGAAATAATCTGTCTTGATATAAATTTGTTTAAGAGGAGCCCTTCACCAAATACTATGTACACTAGGTGAAACTTAGAGTAAATCTTAGAAAAACATGAGTGATTACATTTAAATGAGGGTAATCAAAATTACTGTACATAACTCAATGACTCTTGATTTCCAAAAAAAAAAACTTTATTTACATTCAATTTCCTTTGCATATAAGACAGTGTATTTCCCTTGCAAACAATGACTTCAGTCACTTTTAAAAACTTTATAATAACCATCTCCAGCTGCACAGTGTAAATGGAAAGTTGGACAAAATAAATAATGTATACTTAAAACAGCTGACCATCTTGTATATTAATTGATTACCAGATCAAATGAATCATTTGATTAGATTTTAAAGAACTGCCAGCCATCTAAATAATACAAAGCATGAAAAAAAGGCCAAACAAAAATATTCTTCAACAGGTTCGAGATTTGTCAATAAAATATTGAGAATTCAGTCCTAGCTGCATCATTCTCCAGGTTTAAAAGTTTCACCAAATCTCCTTTAGTCTTCACAAGAGACAGTGCAGTCAGTGAGGGACTTTCTCAAAAAGTTGAGGTCTGAGGTTCAGCATGTCCATGTTATCTATTGAACCAGACTTTATCAGACCTTTATCTCTCCCTCTTCTTCAAGCAACTGTTCATTCCTCCATCTCTGTACCAATCATGCAGGCTAGCTAGGGATTGAAAGAAATCCATTTTCATCTGCAGTGTCCAAGATCTTGCATATTACAGGAGACTCAACCTGTGGCAGAATGATAACCAGGACAAGGGTTATTCAAATTAAACAATCTCTTTCTGTAACATTAGCATTAATATCAAAACACAATGTTCTCATCACTGGAAACATCTAGGGCTGCATATTTATTAAAATCAAAATTGCAGTCAAATCTCAATGTCATTCTGTTTGCCACTCACCCCAAGAATATACTGACAGGTCTGAGGTTCCAGCATGTAAACTGTAACAGCATGAGGAGAGTCATGAGGAGAGTCTGACTCCTTACACCTGAGACACAATGGGTAGGTGTTAGTGGCGGCATCCACAAAACCGGAAAATCACATGGCATCATGAAGTGTGGCTAACTCACTTAAGCTTGACTACAACCTGTCTCGGTTTCCCTGTTAGGTCGCAAACATCTCCATGGCCATAGAAGTGAGAAACGATCCTGATGATACATATACACATACAGTATATGTTGGAGAGATGTTTTTTTTAAAGAAATCAATACTTATTCAGCAAGGTTGCATTAAATTGATCAAAAGTTGATTCAAAGATTTTTTTTTTTTTAAAGTATGATTGTTTCCACAAAAATATGAAGCAGCACAACCGTTTTCAACATTTTAATAAATAAGAAATGTTTCTTAAGGAGCAAATCAGCATATTAGAACGATTTCTGAAGGATCATGTGACACTGAAGACTGAAATAAGGAATTAAGTATGTTGAAATATATTAGTCATTTTAAATTGTACAATATTACTGCTTTTGCTATACTTTATCAATCAAATACAGCCTTAGTGAGCATGAGACTTCTTTTAAAAACATTATATATATGTATGTGTGTGTGTGTGTGTGTATGTGAGGTAAATATAATCATACTTGACTTTCTGCACTCCATCGTCTTTTAAATGATAAGATCGTGCCACGTTTTTCTTGGCCCAGTTCATATGATCCTCAGTGATCCAGCTGCCCACCACCACAATGTTCTTTCCTTGCTCTTTATCCTTCAACCAAAAGCACAACATGCAATTTACCATCTCTCATAATCCAAACATTTACACTATACTGGAAACTGTTATAATTTCTAAATAATTCAATGATTTCACAACTCTTACCTCATGATACTGGTGTACATGTTTTCCATAACAAAATTCATACTTCCACCATCCAACCCCCTAGACAGAAAGAAAAATATGTTGAGCTGGGAACCCAACTAAAAGATCAACAGAAACAGAAGAGAAATCTATCCACCCTCACCCCGTGCAGACAGTACGAGCCGCTCAGAAACTCCTTGATCAGCTGTTCATCAGTTAGACGAGAGATGTGAGTGGTGCCAACGGTGACCTGGGCTTGACCGCCCACTGTCAGGGGCTTATGGGTAGAGGTATACGCCTCTTCCTTCACTGGAGGTTTGTCCTCCTTAGCAAAGGAGACAGAGAGATTATTATATTTGAAATTATTTGTACATTAATATAATTTATATAAAGATTTTTGTTCATACAACATTTTTCATATAATTGTTAATGTTCTTTAATTTGAACACCAACTTGAAGAGTCTTTTCGAAACTACTTATAGTAGCAATTATTCATTACCATTTAAATAATTGGGTTGGTGTAAACGCAGAAGATAAAGGGCAGGTCCAGACTCACCCTGGATCCCCTCAAGTCCCGTTCGATGCTTGAGCTGAACGGTGGTTTGAGCAGCTCTTCCTGTTCACGATCCAGCTGGGACAGACTCTGAGGTCTGAGAGGGGAACCACCCAGAGCCTGACAAAAGATGTCGTTCACTGGGGAGGACTTGAACCTGAGGAGAAATGTGTCGCAAAGGACTAAAAATGTATTCACCACGAACAACACTTTCAGTCGAAACAAATATTGTGGGTCTCAGAGCACAATGAACATATAAAAGCTAGAACACATTACAATGAGTGAAACCTATATCATCATATAGGTCGCATTTTGAATTAAAGTGATTAAAAATAGTGTTAAATGGGTTTGTCTTGCATTAAAGCATGTGAAAGAGCATATGTAAGTGCTTTATCATTTCACTTGCTGCTGTATGAAAAGACTTCTTGTCTGTGATTAGCTTCACTTGTTTGTTCCTTTGTTTCTTGGTGAGAACAGGCTTTATGACATTATCATATTACCGTATATATGATAGAAACACATAGATAGAAATCAAGAACTAATATTTATGCACTAATTTTGTTGGAAAAAAACTGTGAACTTTGTGTGTATGTATATATTTTTTATTATTATTTACTATTATTATTTTGCTTTTTAAAATGCATTGTAAGTGAGGGAAATATAATCATACTTGACTTTCTGTGTTCCATCGTCTTTCAAATGATAAGTTTCACTTTTTCATTTGATTCTAGAATGGGCCTTGTGACAATATCATATTTATGTGATAGTTTGTCCATGTGATGACATACACATTCACGAGCATATACTAGACAACAGAAACCAATAACTATTTGTTTATGCACTTATTTAGTAGGATAAACTACGAAAAACTGATTTTAAAACCGAAATCTTGATTGAGCTGAATGTGTTTGTGTGTGTACCTGTAATTGGGGTGAGGACAGAGGAGAGGTGTGAGCACCACCACTTCATACTGACAGCTGACGACCTCAGCGATTGTGAGGATCTCATGCTTTGCCTCCGGGTGGCAGACGTACAGCACTGTGGTAGTGCGAGGTTCATTCTGTCTCACAGAGCATTCAGTCCCATGTCCCATCTCTACAGGAAAGTATGGCGTGAGCTGACCCTCTATATTCTTCATTGGCACCTGGGAACCCACAGAGAGTTTTTTTTTTAAAACTCATGTCACACACATTTACTATCTGCATATCAAACAGTGACAAACCTCTGTGTCTGTGTTTGATGCTTCTTTTTCAGAGTCTCCAGATTTATCAGTGTCTGACTCTAAGGAGCAGATAAAATACATGAAACAATTGACAGAACATGTAAAGCAAAAAAATACCATCTTAAGCTTAAAAATTGCCCAACCTGCACTCTCTTTTTTATTCATGGTCCCCAGATAGTATTCCTGAACGTTGATCTTCTGAGGGACCAGAGACTAATAAGACCACTGAAATGTTTATATTACTTAGAAATATCTTAAAATCCTACAAACAATCTACCATTCAAAAGATTGGGGTCAGTAAGATTTGAAAAAATAATACTTTTATTCAGCGAGGATGCATTAAATTGATCAAAAGGGATCGTAAATCGTTTCACATTGTTACACAAAAAACTACATTTTTAGATAACATGATTGATACTAATAAGAAATGTTTATTAATCACCAAATCAGCATATTTAGAATGATCTCTGAAGGATCTAAATAATTGACATTTTAAGATTTATCAAAACAGAAAACAATTATTTTAAATTGAAATAACATTTCACAATATTACTGTTTTTACTGTATTTTCTATCAAATAAATGCAGCCTTAGTGAGTATGAGACGTCTTTCACAAACTTTTGAGTGGTAAAATATGCATTCCTAACATAATACAAGGAACGCTATAAGGATCTGCCATGTTCTTTAACAAACACATCAAAAACAGTGGTTTTACCTGCCCCGTCTCCTTCTCCTCATGGTACTGCCGTATATGCTTCCCATGGCACACTTCATATGTCCAGTATGACTCGATCTGCAAGACACATGTTGATAAGCCTGTCAGAAGGCCGAATTGTGGCCACAATAAAAGTACCTCATATGACTAGGAAAAGATCAACAAAAGCAAAGAAAAATAATATCTTATTTTGTTGATTTATTCAAACATTTATCTTTTTGTAAAAACAAGCTCAATTCTCTTTAAGCAAAAATGCAATCTTTTTCTTATTTGGGGGGGAAATTTGACCTAGACATATTATGTGAGACTAGTCAAGCATATTTATAAAGTCAGTCACTCAGATATACAGAAAGTGAGACATGAAACTCACTCTGTAGGAGCAGCTGCTCTGTTTGAATAACGGCTCCAGTAGCATAGCTGGACTCGGTCCGCTATACTCCTTCGCATCACCCTTCAAACGAGACAAGAAATTGGTCAAATGAAGTAAAATAAAACTAAACTAAATGATATATAGAATAGCTCAAGATAATGGTCATTTAAAATCTGCCATCCATAACCATACCTCCTGATTGCTGGACAAAGATGGCAATAAACACTTGTACTTTTCTTTTTCCGCAGTTGTCATAATAACATAGTTATCTTTTCTGTACAGGCCTCCAGATGTTGACTGTGTAATGAAAAGGGATATTATTGCATATTAAACTTCTGCAAAAATCACTAAACAAAAACCATGCCCACAGTACCAGATAAATAAAACAACATAATGCTGTTGGAGAGAATACTTATAGGGATCGTTCACCCCAAAATGAAAATCGTTATTTACTCACCCTCAAGTTGTTCCAAACCTGTAGGGGTTTCTTTCATTCTGTTGGCATCCAGACAGTTGATGGCACCCATTGACTTCCATAGTAGAAAAAAATACTATGAAAGTCAATGGGTGCCGTCAACTGTCTGGTTACCAACATTCTTTAAAAAATACCTTCCTTTGAGTTCAGCAGAAGAGAGAAAATCAAACAGGTTTGGAACAACATGAAGGTGAGTAAATGACAAAATGTTCATTTTGGGGTGAACTATCCCTTTAACACACTACAAGACAGTTCAAAACAAAACAGGACACGTCCAGTTGTTATGAAGCGACCTTAGCCAACAAGCTGACAATTAAACAAACAGCATATGTTAGGTTGTATTTACAGCTGTCATGCGAAATATCTGAGTTTATTAGATGTTTGTACTCACCAGGGTGAAGTCTGATCCGGGCCATTTGATTTTGAAGGGGATCTCATCAGAAAACACAGGAGATCCTGCACGATTTGCAGAAACTCCGAACCAAATCAAACCCCAAAACAAACGCCAAAACACCCCCATCGCCCCTGCTGAGCCTCCGAGAGCGCTATCCGGACATTAGAACGAGACAGAAGGGAGTGAAGGGTCAGAAACGCAACTACTACAGGTAATCACTGAGATCTAATAGATGACTGACTGCTGATAGTTTGACATGAGTTAAAACAGCAGCTTGCCACGTCCATTTCCGGTATCAGACGGAAGTTCCGCTCAACCAATAGCGGGAGGACGGCGCGTGAGCCGCTGTTTACGCTGAGATAACAACTGAACACTTGTATTTTCGGTGATTAAAAAAACAACAACATTTTTTAAACTTAAAAAAGGCAGTAAGAGAGTCCATTTGTGCTACTCAATAATATTTTTAGAAATCTCACAACTGTATTCATAAGCAAATAATCTCGTAATTTATCGTCTTTTTTGATTTACTTTTTTTTTTTTACTTAACGTTACGTTTATAAATGTAGCAGGCCTAATTCATTAAATTATTTCTTAAATTATTTTTCTCCAATAATTGAGTGGCAGAATAAGCTCCCATAAAGTTTTTAAAAAGCAAAGACATCACATAGCCTACTTCTTTACAAAATGTCTCAGAAACCTGATTTATTGCCGTTTTCTTTTTTCTTTTTTTCTTTTTTTTTTGCCGCAACAAATTAGGACTCAAATAATACGCCTACAATTCCATATTTTAATTAGTTTGTATCTTGTATGAAAATATAATATTTTGGATGCTGCATGTCACTTTTAGATTAACTTCGACCAAAAATATGTTCAGGCTCCCAAATGTCTGTATTTGCTTGCTCTAAAAATAGTTTAACTATATTATTATGCAGCATGATAAATATAGCCTAAGTGTAGACTAATCGTTTTGAGCTTTTTAGCACCATGCATTTCAATCCTCTTCACAAGAGGCTATTCTCTGATCTTCTGCTCTTCTCGGCTGTCCCAACAGGCTTCAGATAACCTCAGTAATTGCTTACATCAGATTGGGCATCCTTGGTAACTTCCATCATATTCCTCCTGGGTCTTCATTCAAAACCATCAACCACAAATTGCTCTCAAAGCTGGCATAAATGGGCATGCCATTTTCACATCTGCACCATGCAGGGCCCTTTCTTCACCCACTGGGATTTCAGTGCTTGGAGCCCTTATGCTTCTCGGTCTATAATACATTTCTCATTTGGTTGCAACACGTATTGTGAATATACTAGTTCCATAAGCAGCCAATTTAATCTGAATAGTCTATTATCCAAAATAATGGCAGGCAAAGATTGGTTTAATTTCCCTTCTAGTGACGAGGTTGCTATTTCTGTCGCCTGTGTCTCGCTTAAATAGCCTTTCCACGTGGTTTTTGGATCACTGAATACATTGTAACATGTATTCTCAAGTTATAGCAGGTCTTTTGATGCTTGAAAGGAAAGTAAAGCCAAGAGTTTTGAGTGGAAAGTGGACCTCAGTAGTATTCACGTAGAGCTTTCAATCATAGTGCAATCATGGTACATCTTGATGGTTGAATCTTTGTTTCAGAAGCTTTTTTCGTGGGATTCACTGTATCTTGTGAAATAAATGTCCAGATTGGGGGTGTTTGCTGACAGTTTATGATTTTGTAGAATGTGACAAACAGGAAGTCTTTCTTGAGGTTTCATCTCTAATATGTAGGCCATCATTGTGCCTGAATTCAAATTCTGACAACTGTGTTACAAGGCTTTTTGTTCGGGACACACAAAAAAAGCATGTTAATTCTTTCTCTATTGCAAAATGTATATCTACTAATATTCTATCAAGTGTTTCCACAGAAAACATTCCTTTATGTTTCTCTCATAAAAAAACCCAATACGTTTCTTTTCAACAGTGTTTTCTTCTGTCTCTGAAATAAAGCCCAGTTTAGCCCTTCATATCCAGTAGAGGGCGCAATTGTTCTGATGATTGGGATTGTACAGAAAGAGCTTTATTACCAAGTATGTTTACACAGAAAAGGAGCTTCCACACAGAATGGCAGAGACAAGACAGGTAATAAAAAATAGAATTAAGTGAATACAAAATTAAAATATATAAAAAATACACTATATAGAAAATAGACAATATATGTGTATGGTTCATTGGCAAATAAAGCTTCATAAAAGGTGTTTTTAAAAAATATATATATATAAAAACTGATGCAATGCATATTTTTGAGTCATGAACAATGTGTTTGAATAAGTTGCAATTGTTAAATAAAATTGAAAGGGTTTAAATTAGGGCTGTCAAATGATTAATCACGATTAATCACATCCAAAATAAAAGTTTTTTTTACATTATATATATACAAAATAATTATACACAGTGCACCCACATATATTAATACACACACATGCATGTATATTTAAGAAAAAAAGATTATTTATATATAAAATATTTATATTTATATATAATATAAATTATATATAAATCTATATACAGTATATACATGAAAATATTTCTTAAATATATACAAGCATGTGTGTGTATTTATATATATAAAATAATTATACACAGTGCACCCACATATATTATGTAAAAAAAACCTTTTATTTTGGATGTGATTAATCACGATTAATCATTTGACAGCCCTAGTTTAAATTCATTTTGTGACATTTTATGTCAGGCGGTATAGGCCTACAGCCAAATAATTGTTTGTAAATTTACTGTAGTTGTACCACCTGACATGGAGAGTGTACCAACTTGAAATCAGCAGGTTTTTACCAGTATTTGAGAGAGATCTACAAACCTTGTCAATCCACAAGGTCATCTGGATGATACATTACTTGTTTACTATTATTACCTTGTCGATTCATAATAAAAGAGCCATGTTTGCAGTTGTGCCACCCTGACATTTGAGAATATATACAGATTGCTGGACTTAAGTTTTTCAATTATCTCAACAGCTTTAAAACTTTTAGATTTATATGAAAAATTGATTATATGAAAGGTTTCAAGCCTAAAATGATGCCATAGTATTTCGTTTTTTATTTTTTATTTTATAAGACACCATTTTAAATAGTTTTCCTATAGTCTGTTTATTTGTTCAGACAGTTGCACCACCTAAAATTTTGGGGGTTTAAGATAACAACGAGTTAAAACTAAATAGGTCTTATACAATAAAGTGATATGTCATGAATTTATCAAAGTATTTTTAAAATAAATAATGCACTTGCACACAAAAATATGTACGTCATGTCATTGACCCATCTACAGATATGTTACAAATGCAAGGGAATGTAAATAAGAAGTAGCCTATGGTGTGTTAAATAAATATAAGTATAAATAGCACACCCCACGGTGTTTAAAGTGATGCCCTTTTGTTGCCAACGCGCTTGGCAATTATGTTCATCTGCTGGTCAAAGTGAACACAGTGTAAAGCAGTGTGTAAGAGTTGGCCTTGGACAGAGCAGAGGAAATGACATAATGACCTTCTGAAGTCACTGGCCACGTTCCAGCACTTGAGTCAGTCTTCGCACACGCAGGCAGCGTCTCGTCTTGGTGCCTGGGTGTGGTCTTTCTCATATTCAGCTCAATATACCAACCTTGAAAACTAATATCAGCCCGTCCAACTTAAACATCCTTCAGATTCACATCTCTCACGCGCTCTCTAATCATCCCCATATGATGAGACGACTGCTCTACTACTACTACTAACCGCGCGAGCAAGGGACAAAAGGTAATTTTAACACAACAGCGGTTTTGTCTTAAAGATAAAGTGCTGTTCTTTGTATGTGATCCACATGTGCTCGATGTTCTCAATGTCTGTCTGTTCACTCTGGATGCTCAAGGCAAATACAATGAAACATTTAACTGAAATGCAGAAATATGATAATTAATTTGATACTGTAACAAATATACCGTGAATGTACATCAGATATTACTAACCGAATCAGTTCTTTAAAAAAAAAAAAAAGATACTTTTTTTGTTGGTTAACTGACAGCTGTAGCCTACCTGCTGGTGAGTTTAAGTTTGCGGTTCGGGGGTTGAACTTGAACTGGTTCTCCAAGGCGCACCCTGTAGGGACTGTAAACCTTTACAGAACAGATTAGTGGTCTCTCTCTCTCTCTCTCTCTCTCTCTCTCTCTCTCTCTCTCTCTCTCTCTCTCTCTCTCTCTCTCTCTCTCTCTCTCTCTCTCTCTCTCTCTCTCTCTCTCTCTCTCTCTCTCTCTCTTAATTCTATGCAGCGACTCACAGGTTTCGTTCACTCTCGCTTTAATTTGTTTTGAAGCGCGTGATGTTTGCTCAATTCAGAGACTGACTATCGAACTAGACCGGTTTTAAATTACCTATACTTGCTTAAATACATTTAAATAAATTATTCAATAAGGCTACTCACTTAAAGTGCTAGTTCAACCAAAAATGAAAATATCCTATAATTTACATAGGTGTATATGTCTTTCTTCTTCCAACCAAAAACAATCAGAGTTATATAAAAATAAAAAATCCTGGCTCTCCTAAGCTTTATAATGGGAGTGAATGGTACCTTGTTTTTTGAAGCCCCAAAAAACGCATGCATCCATCCATCATAAAAGTAATCCATACGGTTCCAGGGGGTTAATAAAGGCCTTCTGAAGTGAAGCGAATCGATTATAAGAAAAATATCCATAATATTATAACTTTATAAACTGTAATCACTAGCTTCTGGTAACGTCGAGCATTCACAAGTCGAGTAGGATGATGTAGCGTAAGTTTAGGTGAGAGTAGACACCTCTCACGGTTCAAACAAACAAGGCTGGGCAACAAACTCAAGCTCCTCTGACATTTCTCTTTAAAAATTCTCGTTTTTAGACTTTTAATTCGTGCCTGGTGTTTTGTTTTGCTCTATCCTCTGCGCTTCAGCGTTCGTCAATACATCATGCGTCGGGTCAGAGGTCACTCTTCGGCCGAAGCCAATCATTACAGTTTATAAAGTTATAATAATGGATATTTTTCTCACAAAAACGCATCGCTTCGCTTCAGAAGGCCTTTATTAACCCTATGGAGCCGTATGGATTACTTTTATGATGGATGGATGTGCTTTTTTGGGCTTCAAAAAACAAGGTACCATCATTCATGCATTATAATGCTTGATTAATGCTTGAATAATTTTTTTTTACATTACTCAGATTGTGTTTGGCTGAAAGAAGAAAGTCATATACACCTATGGCTTGAGGGTGAGTAAATTATGGGATAATTTTCATTTTTGGGTGAACTAATTCTTTAACGCACAATAATCATTTGTTGCCAGGTACTTATTTTGAACTATTTACTCTTGAAAATGGAGCATCCCACACATAGCAAGAAAGCACATTCCTCACAAAGGCGTGAAGCTACTGTCCTGTGCTAGAATTTTTTTTAAGGGATTTTATTACCTTCCTAACCAAAACAAACAAACCCAAATGAAAGTTTCTGGAGGTTTATTTTTTATCAGAAAAAAGGTTCGCTGGCTCAATGATCTGGTCACACAGGTTCTTGAGTCAAAATGGACCGCTTTTTTAAATGTGTTTTTGTTACAACTCTTAACCTTTTTACTTCACTGAAAACAACTACAGCATATTGGTTTGGAAGAACATGAAGGAGAATAAATAATGACACTGTTCCTTTTTTGGTCAACTATCCAGGACCATACAAATAGCCTTTGGGAAATGTTTGTAAAAAAAAAAAAAAAACACTTTGTATAGAATATAATAACTAAACTATTTACAATTTCTACAACATTTGAGTTGATGTGGAAAAAGAAACCACCAACAACAACAACAAACAAACAAAAAAACAGGAACTTAATTCCATTTGTTGCAACCATGCAAGATTGATTATTGGCTCAGGTAGATTTCCATTATTCAAATACAGTTTGCACATGTGCAATATATCTTGGGAGGGACCATCCAGCTTTATTTATAAAAAAAAAAACAATCTTCTGGTTGGTTAATATGATAGAGCTTCCGAAGTTATTTATATTAATCTGTTTTTCTCTCTCTCTCTCCACAGGGTTTTGTTGGGACAGGTGAAGTGAAGACTACATGATAAGGATGGGAATCATTAAAGTGCTGAAAACTCAGTTGCTGTGCCATCTCATTATCTGTTATGTGTTCCTGGTCAGTGGGATTATTATCAACCTGCTGCAGCTTTGTACTCTACCACTGTGGCCCATTAACAAGCAGCTCGCACGCAAGATCAACTGCAGATTGGGTTATTCCGTTTCTAGTCGTAAGTCCTGCAAAGCTGTCACCTGTGGGTTCACCTCCTCCAACAAAAGATACTGTCCTCCTAACCAAGCATGATGCAACAAGTTTCCAGTTATATTTATAAGTTATATTTTGTCCTCACTGAAAAAAGACATACTGTACTGCATGAAGTGAACAAATCACATTAAATAGTATCAATAAATGTGATGTGTCACAGTCATGGAGATCATGATTATCATGTCTTTCCTGCTTAAGACAGATTGTATTGTACTATTTAGCAAATGGATACACACCACCTGAAACCATTATTTCCTGTTTGAAAACCTCAGTGTTGCAATGAGGGTAACAAAACAGGAAATGCATATTATTGTAAACTGCAAATTACCTTAGTCTATTTGCATACATACAAGAACGATTAGCTTGTTGGCCTACCGCAGATTCATAATTATGTCAATTCACTCTGCATTATGAATATATGCATTATAATTCAATTGTATATTTTTTCTATATTTGTTTAGAATTGGTGGCATTGTTGGAGTGGTGGTCTGGGACAGAATGCACACTTTACACAGATCCAGAAAGCTATTCACTCTATGGCAAAGAAAGCGCCATTGTTGTCCTCAATCATAACTTTGAAATCGATTTTATGACCGGCTGGACCATCTGTGAAAGATTTAGTATTTTAGGGGTAAGAAAAAAACGTAGCCTTCCCACACATTAACCCTTTAAACGCATACCTCGGGTCTTTAGTGACCCGGTACGAAATTCACTACCCTCCTTCATTTAAGTTATACATCAACCGTCTTAGTATTCCTCAATTGATTCATTATAAACAATATAACAAGAAAAAATAATACAATTATAAAAGAATGACTGTTTTCCCATAAATTGTATTGGGTCGCTGACCGGAGGTGTGTAACAGTGTAAATATATATTTTAACAACAGTTGAAACTTTATTGACTAAATAAGTGCAATTCACCTTAATTCCACAAGGTGGCAATGTCTGATACACAATGATGAAGTGACCTTTCACTCATAGTTACCACAGGCAGAAAACAAAAGAGTAGGAAGTATCATCAGCAAAACTTGAAATGGCTCAGTGATTTACTGCAGAGCAAATATTAGTGTCACTGTCACTTGATGGTGGATCTGGTAAAGAAGCTGTCAGCAATCAACATAATGACTTTGAACATGTTGAAAATGGTAGTTTTGAGAATATGTTTGAGATCGTGAATATACTGGGAAATTTCAAGGACAGTGATGATAGTATAAAACATCTGCTCAAACTGAACCCTTTCAAGCTCCAAAAGGTAACAAAATATGCCCTATTTTATTCTTCTGTAATTGTTACTCTAATTTCAGGAGAGTTTGATTTTATCGCGACAGGTAGATATAGATCCGGGTAGCTAAAGACCCGAATATGTAATAATGATTGGCAAAACATTCATGCATGTAAGGGTTAACAGATGTGTGATCCTAAATGAGAATGATGTCTTTAAACGTGTATTACTCATTTTTAAGACTTAATATCTTCATGATGTTATAAGACATAATATGATGTACTGCCACACAATTGTTTTTCATCATATTCTGTTTTCAGAGTTCGAAGGTGTTGGCAAAAAAGGAACTTTCCTTTGTTCCTGTGATTGGCTGGATGTGGTACTTCCTGGAGATCGTCTTCTGCAAAAGGAATTGGGAAGAGGATCGCAAGAAAGTAGTGCAGAGCCTGCGCAACCTTCGTGATTACCCAGAAAACTTTTGGGTATGTTTGTATAAATCTTATTGCACATTGTACTCTGGTGTCAATGACATTTTATTACATTTCAGATTTCACAGTTTCTTAGTTGAAGGAATAGTTTCACCTGTTCACCCAAAAATGATTTACTCACCCGCTCATGTTTCAAACCTCATATGCTGTTATTTTTGTGTATCACTAAAGGAGAATTTTTGGAACAATATGCAGGCAACTCTTTCCATGTGATGACAATTTAAGTAAAAAAAAAAAAAAAAAAAAATCGGCATGAAAGTAGTCCATGTGGCATTTAAGTCATTATTCACTAAAAGAAAAGTAAATTTTTGGGTGAAATCTTACCCAACTCTTAACAAATACACCAAGCAAGGCAGGTTTGGTTCAATTAAAACAACTCTAGTGCGATTGCTCTGTCCCTTGTTATATCTCCTATGTGGCTGATGTTCATTTTTGATTCGTCTATAGTTCCTGTTGCACTGTGAGGGCACACGATTCACAGAAAAGAAGCACAAGATTAGTATGGAGGTGGCAGAGAAGAAAGGTCTCCCCAAACTCAAGTATCACCTTCTTCCTCGGACCAAGGGCTTTTCCATCACGGTCCAGAACCTCAGGGGAAAGGGTGAGAGCTTCTTGGCCATTGAGTAATGACAAACCCGTAGCAGCAGTGCTTTTATTGATCTTCCAATTAGTTAAGGCATATCACTTTCTTGATGCTATTTAAATGACTGTAAATACATGAAATGAAAGAAGTCTTTTTGACAGACATAGCCTCTAAGGATTTGGCTCTCTGACTTGGTTTGTGTCTCCTCTGTAGTTACTGCTGTGTACGATACTACACTTAATTTCAGAAACAACGAAATGCCAACTTTATTAGGGGTGCTCAATGGGAAAAAATACCATGCTGATTTATATGTGAGGTAAGAATGAAAGAAAGAATCATTCAAAATCATTTAACACTGCCCTTCTGCAATATTTAACAAAAAGTTGTTCATTAAATGCTCTGTGATTTTTCTCCTGCTATAACAAAGTTCAAAATGCAATCTCCATAATAATTTATAAATGTTTTAGTTTCACTTATGAATGTGTTGTGAGTTAAGACCTTAGGTCCTTTGCGAGATCAAGATAAACCATCATGGATTTCCTTGTGTCTGTTAGGCGAATTCCTCTGGATTCGGTCCCAGAGGAGGAGTCGGAATGTGCGGCCTGGCTCCACAAACTCTATCAGGAAAAAGTAAGTGCACTACCTGCCTAAGTTGGAGGTGATTTTGTGCTCGTCAGTGTTATTTATACCGCATTATTATTATTTCATTTTTTTTATTTTTTATTATTTCAATAATTGTTATATGCTCTTGTCAACTTATCTTTTACTTTATTTTTCTCTTTAGCTTTATTTTAGTTTGAGTAATTATAGTACTTATAGAACTATTTTATTTCAGTATGTTGCCAAGGCAACATTTCTTTTTTTATCTAATATTTGATTTCAATTCATTTTTAATATAGTTGTTAAAATTCTGTAATTAATTACTCACCCTCATGTCGTGGTGCTCACGTGACCAGCATCAGAGACTGACACAGAGAAGAAATTGTTGAATTAAGTCGTTATTTTTCTTTTTGCGCACAAAGTATTCACGTCGCATTATTATTATTATTATTATTTTTAAATGTTTTATACATTTAGACATTTTATTATTATTCATTTTTTTTGTCTTCTCTGTTCAGTCGTGGGTGGGTTGTGCGAAAGGGAGAAAAAAGAAAATAAAAATGTTGTTAACTCTTTCTGTATATGATACGTCACTCTGTTCTTTAATAAAAAAATATATATAACATTTTTTTTTAAGTATTCACGGCGCTTCATAAAATTAAGGTTGAACCACTGTAGTCACATGGACTATTTTAACGATGTCTTTACTAACTTTTCTGGGCCTTGAAAGTGGCAATTACTTTGCTGCCTATGGCTGGTTCAGAAAGCTCTAGGATTTCATAAAAAAAGTCTTTATTTGTGTTCCGAAGATGAACGAAGATATTACGGGTTTGAAACGACATGAGGGTGAATAATTAATGACAGAATTAATTTTTGGGTGAACCAACGAACCCTTTAATAATAAAAACCCTGGTGCTGGTATTAGCATTTCAGTTATTATTTGCTTATTAATAGGACACAGCCAACTAGAAACTAGCGCCAGTAAAGCAATTGCCCATGAACAGTAACATGGACGGACAGTTAGGGTAATCAGGGTTAGAACATGGAAATTAAGGGATTTTTTTTGTGTGTGTGTTGTCTCACTCAGGATGAATTCCAAGAGCATTACACACAGACAGGCCGGTTCCCAGGTCCCATTACGAGCCCCCCGCGCCGACCTTGGGCCCTATTGAACTGGCTGTTCTGGATCTGTTTGCTGGTCTACCCTCTCTTCAGGCTCCTGCTGCAACTGCTGCTGTCAGGGTCCATCTCCACCGTCGTCTGTACATTTGTCTTCTGTTTTGCAGGTACTTGGCATAAGGGCATGGGGATTTCCTACTGATTCCTACTGACAAGGCTGGTGTAACAAATAGCAAAATAAAGAAATAGACCTTTGAAAATTGCAGCAGATATTTTTGTGGTCTAGACACCAGCAACTAAGGAATTGTATACTGCTGCTATTTTCCTCCAATCTGTTTTTTCTTTCAAAATATAAAAATATAAAGGAGGCCGATTAGGTTCTATGGCAGTAAGTACATCAACCATTTCTATCTGGATTTACCGCATGCTGGACTGGTCACTTCATAAGTGCATGGATAAATGAGATTTGTATGCATTCAAAGTGCCGTTAATTATCATAGCATGTGTGTGAGAACAGTTTTAAGATTCATTTCAGCTGTAAAAGTTTAATCGAAACACCAATTGCACACAAAAACACATCTTGAACTACATGACTCAATTATACTATGAGAAATCATGTATAATTGATATTTTGTTCAAATGAAGCTTTCATTTCTCCTTTGCTTTTAGTACAGGGTTCCCACACCTGTTGACCAAAGAATTTTCATGATTACTGAGAAAAAGGTGTTTTAAAATTGTTGATGATACCCAAGCTTAACTTAAATATTTTTTTTTTTTTAAATCCACATTCACCAAATTTCCATGACTTTTCCAGGCTTCAAAATCACAGGCTTAAAATTCCCTGTTTCCAGGTTTTCCATGTCTGTGGGAACCCTGTTAGTATTATGACAATTATCTAATGCAGTGGTTCTCAACCTTTTGGACTCGATTACACCCATTGCCCGACACAGTATTTGAAGTCCCTCCCATACAAACATTTTCAGTATTTCTGCTGTAATTGACACACCTGCTTGTTTTCCAACTTTATTATAACCATATTAAAATTAACCGCAATTCATTTTGTGATTCTAGAAGATTCATGAATTGTTTTTCACTAAAAACAATTAGGAATGCACCGATATGAAAATTTTGGCCGATACATTTCTATATATACAACCGATATATTGGGCGCTAAATCTACATTTTTATATAATTTTTGAGAGCCTGATTACAAAAACAAAACCATTAAAAGCCATGTCCCAAGCACACAATTATAATGTTCTCATTATAATTGTATATAGCCTATGACAGACTTGCACTGCACATGTTGCACTTAACTGTATTTTCCTTTTTGTAAGTGATTCCAATCAATTCAAAATCATCATGGCGAACAGCGCACATCTGAAGTGTCTCAGCTGAAGGAAATAATCCATTATTTCTCGGCTTTAATATATCAAGCATCCCTATAGTTAGAGGGGGATAAAGTCCTTTTTAGAATTTTAACATTAATATATTAAAATAATTAATATATATGTGGCCACCTTAAAAGATTGCAGACGCCCCCTGATTGAGAATCACTGATCTAATGAATGATATAGACAGTGCTTGTAGCCCTAGTTTAGTTATGGAGCATGCTAATGTGACTGGCTGTTGCGCTGACCAATTGTTGCTTTTATTTTCAGTGTCAGTTGGAATCCGCTGGATGATCGGACAGACAGAGATTGAGAAGGGTTCGAACTACGGGAATAAAGAGGTCCAGTTGAACAATAACTGAGAGACTGTCACCCACCAGGGAAACAAGATCATGCTATTGTACTGTGATGAGGGCACTTTCACAACAGGAACTGGCATTAGCAAAGTGAAACCACCTTCATAAGTGAAATTTGAGGAACTCGTCACATGAAGCTTTTGGAAAGACATTTAAATCATTAAAAACACTTCTGTCATGACCTCTCTCGGAGTGATTGGCATGGTGATGGGTATGACAATGTTGTATGTTTGGTCTTGGTGGAATAGATCTGCTACGCTGCTGCTGCTAATACATACACGACACGCTGCTGTGAGCAAGACAGACATGCTGCTGCTGTACAATATAGAGTACATGTAGCAGGTCTATACAGGTGGAGCTGGGGAAGGTGGAGGGTTTCTGAAAGCATGCTGCACTGCTAAGGCAAATGCTACCCAAGTATTTGAAGGTTGAGCAGCGAGCTCATTGGCTACTGATACGGCAGGAACCAATCAGCTGCCCCCTATAGATAACGATGTGATTATGAACAGGTGAGTAAAATGACCTATTTAGCCTGCACCACCTAGAGTTTCATGCCAGAACTTTGTATTTCACCATTTCTATTTACATGTTTTTAAAGATACAAGTAGGCCATTTTAAAAAAAACTGTCTGTTTATTAATATTCTTTTTTTAAATATTGCAAACACTGTTGGAGGAGCAGAGAACCAGCAGTTGATGCCTATGTAAGAGCATGTTTGTCCACCCATCCGAGTGCAGCAGCAGAAAGGCGGAGTCAGACTGGCCTCTTCCCTCTCATTGGTTGATTATGCTCTTGTACACCCAGATCGTAAAGGCACAGCGTTGTCCAGCACGAGGCTGAGCCGACGCAACAACTACTTTTAGGCTTAAATATGACTTGTTAACAGTGGGCTCTGCAGCAAGGCAAACAAAAATACAATTTTAAGATAAGAAAAATTTAAAACCTTCTCTACTGTGACTTTCAGCCCCAGGTTTGTATGCTTTCTTCAGTGAACACTCATTGAAATTGTACATACAGTCAGTCAATGCCAAACTCTCCCTCCATCTCCCATTCTCTGATACTTTGTGCGGAGAACGTCGACATTGAATTAATGTACTTGGTCTCCTAACATGTATTCCCTGTGACTCATTCACCAAAAAAATGGCTATTAAACTTCAGCTTTACAATATGCTTTGTACAAAGAAAAACCGTAACCCTATTCTTACAGTATGTACATAACACACTCGTCCGTACGACATGTCCATCTCATTTGCTAATGTTACTGTACATGTAAGACTTGCCCTGCTTTAATGTCGCAAGGGGTTCACATATTGAGCAGAGCGCATCTGTTTTTCCTTCGTCTTTCCTCATGCCGTGTGAAGTAGTGCTAGCATTTTTGTAAACGTTAAGAGAATGCAGGTCCTCCCCATCACTCTTCATCCGTGCAGACCTGCAATTGAAAAGATGTGAGACTGACATGTTAGTGCCATTTCTATCAACCTCACTCTAGCAGCCAATCAGGTGACTAAGTAAATTAGTGATGACCCAAAATGATTTTTACACCCAAACCAAAATTAAATTATTCATTTGGCCAGAATCCAAAAGTAAAATTTATTTAATAATTAATACTCAAATCTGAGTTGCATATAAACCTTCAAATTGCACACATGGCAGTTTAAAAACAAAATGTTTTAATGATTAAATGTTTCTTCTCCAATTCGTTGTTGAAATATGAACATTTAAATGGCTGTCATAATTTGGTTTCTTGACAGATTTTTAGCCTGTTAAAGATATTAAACATTTCAATTTTGTTATAAAATTGGCAGAAAAGTAACAAAGCTGATTGTGATTATTGGATGGTAGGCGCACTACAAATAATGTTTTTGAGAAGTTTTATTCAGGGATCCACTGAAAACAGCACAGACGGTACATCAAAATGAAGATCCATTAAATATGAGAAATCGATATTGTCAACCTAGCTCTAGAATCCACACAGCTTTCAGTCAATGATTTCGACCAAAATTTCGGTGCATTATTAAAGTAATTCACTGGTTTATTTCTCAAAATGAGAATTTTGTTTTGTCAGTGTTTGGTTTCATGCTTTTGAGTGTGTAAAATGTTGGTGGATGTACTAGAAGAGCTGTTTGCATCTAAGTAACAGATTGGAAATTTGGCACAAAGCATTGCCTCATTTCCATCAAATGTGTGACCCCGTGAATCTGCTTAAGGATGAAAGCTGGGTGAGAGCGGGCTCATACCTTGACAAAGGGGTGGTCCAACAGGGCACTGGCGGTCCATCGCCGCTTCGGTTCACTCTCCAGGCAATGGGCCAGGAAGTCCTTCCCCTCTGTGCTCAGCTTTTCAGGAATGGGCGGTTTGTGGCCCATTCCCACTTTATACATGATCTGGAAGTTATGCTCATATTCGTGCCAGGGTCTCTGAATTACACAATCAAACAGGAAGGAACATGAGTTACTTAGTGACATGATATTTGTAGATTTTTTTTTTTTTTTTACAGTTTACACACTAAAAACACTGTTGCTAAATGATGGTGTTACAAGACGAATAAACTTCAATACTGGTGAATATCCGAACTGAATCCTGTTTTGTCGTAATTGGTGGACATTTGAGTAATTATGGTTTCAGGAAGACCTTTCCAGCATTACAAGTTTAGTTGTTTCAAGTTCAAGGTCAAAGTTTATTATGAGCCCAAAGGTCGACTTTTGGTGCAGCATAAAATTTGTAATATCAAACAAAATACAAACAACATTCTGAAATCTTCCAAGTTTAAAAGCCTTACAGCAGTGGGAATGAAAGAATGTCTATACCGATTGCATTTAAGTTTAGGCATACTATAATGTATACCAGATATAAGCATTTTAAATTCATGGAACAGCGGATGAGTACAATCTGCAAGAATCGCTCTAACTGTTCAAAACTATTTGATAACCCAGTCTGCTTAATGCCAATAATCTTACTACTGTACCTTGATTGACAATGCCATTCAATGAGTTTCAATGTTTAACATTACCATACCAACAGCATATAGAGAAGCAAAGTACAGATTCAATATAAGATTTATAGTGCATGGTCACAAGAGTCCTACTGATATTAAAAGTAGAGAGCTTCCGAAGACTGTGTAACCGTTGCTGGCCTTTTTGCGTACTACTTCAACAACACTTATTACCAATGATAAACACGAGGTACTTGTAACTGCTAGCCCATTCCACCATTTGACCTTTCTCTGGTTGATTGAGGCGGCAAAGGACTAGATCTAATATCAATTACCATATACCTTTACTTGCAAAAAGGCACTGTCACACAATGTCATAAAATCACTCACCACTGGATCATGACATTTCTTATCCTTAGTCAGCAGAATAACAATATCATCAGCAAATTTTAAAAATGAACATAGGTTCATTGTGTTAGGTTCATTGTGTGTTTGTTCACACATGTGTAGGCAAGCCCAAAAATTTCCTTTCAGGATTTGGCGCTCACGAGAGGGTGTGTTTTCACAGTACATTATCCTCAAACCAGTTTGGGGAAATGCTGGTACATGGATGAATAAAGAACAAAACCAAACAAATATGGGCATGAAACATGCACATATAACAGGCTTTACCTTTCCAGTGACCATTTCTATGAGAACACAACCAAGGCTCCAGATATCAGCAGCACGACCATGGCCTTCACCCTTTGCTCTTGTGATGACCTCAGGAGCCATGTATGCTAGAAATGACAGGGGAAAAAATGTTTTTTTTTTGTGGTAATCATCACAATGCTACAAATGCCAGACAGCGTAATTTAAGTATTATTTATATACAATTATTTGCTTTTATTTAAAAAAAATATTTTAGTTTGTCAATTAATGTGCTTTTGTCGTTTTAGTTTTTTCATATTTCTATTTAGATTTATTTTTATTTCAGTTGTAGTTTAAGTCATTCAAATTCAACATTTCTAGTTTTCATCTAATTTATATTTATATCTTGTTTTAGCTCAATTTTATTTAACAAAATAAAACTATTTTAAATAGATTTAGTTTTCAAAATGTACAGTTATATTTCATACTATTTCTACCATTTGTTAAACTTATTAATTTTACTAATACTACTAGTGATAAGTAAACTGTTGTTTTGTTAGTTAACTAAAACTATACAAAATGTTTTCATCAATTGAAATAAAGCTGAAATAAAAGTTGAAGTACAAAAATTAAAAAATTCTAAATAGAATTTAAAAAACTAATAAAAATGAGGAAAGAACCGAATTAAAATAAAATAAAATGCTTGACCTAAAATTTAATTCCTAAAAGCCTATTCAAAATATTAATAAATACTATAAACTTAACACTGCAAAGAAATTTTTGGAGACAGTGTAAAACTGTTCAAGGAAGCATTTTGGTTTACCAAGTGACCCTTTATCATGAGATATGATGCATCACCACATATGTACTGGTGATAAAAAATAAAAATAAAAACTTTACACAACGCATTAAAACTAGCAAAATCAGTGGACTAGGGTCAAAACCAGAAAGTCTAGACCGCCAGCATGCTTCCCGGAGCTTTACAACAAAAAGTCTTTTGAGATCTTCAGTAACAGGTTTTGGTATGCCAGGTGTGGCTTCAGGACACATCACACTCCCATTCAAAAAGTTTACTATGCCCTCTGGTGTTTAAACCTGGAAACCACAACTTTGAGCCTCTCACCTGCTGTTCCCAGTGTGCTGTTCACCTCTCCAGGCATCGTCTGAGCATTGTTCTTTAGCTTCACTGAGCAGCCGAAGTCCCCTAGCTTTATTAAACCAGATGATGTGAGGAAGATATTGGCTCCTGGGGAGTAAAAGAATAACAAAAATTAGTGATGCAATGAAATAAAAATTCTTAACTGACACCTAGACATCCAACTGACTAGCCAATAAACACATCTGATTCTCTCATGAAGGAAAGAGTAACGGAAATCTTGGCACAAATGAAGACCTTTAATGTCCCGGTGGACAATGCCGTGTTCATGGAGCACGTTGATTGCCGTCGTGATCTGCTTGCTGTAGAGGCGGATGACGTGTTCCTGCAGACCCAGTCTAGACACTTCCTCCAGCGTCCCCTCGTCACAGTACTCCATAAAGATATACATCTCCTCCTGCAGGAGCAAACAGCAGAATCAATGATGAATAAACAAAACTGTTATGGCAGACACTGACATAACAC